TTCTATTTTTAAAATATTTGCCTCTGATATTTGAAAACATTTTTTGTACTTCTTTGATGAAAAGTGTTATATACATGTATAGATTAGCATTATTTAGGAAATAACTCCTTACATACTGTGATAAATCATTGCTGTTACATATAGTAACAGGCCTTAATTACATTTACTGCCTTAGAATATTACTTTATGTAAGTTAATATAAGTTTTAGATTTTAAACATTGTTTCAGATGGTCCAGTTGGATTCAGTATAGGTAATTAACCAAGCTCATCTCTACCTTCACTTTGCAGCACAAGTTAATTTATCAAAACACATCTCTATTACCTTTGAGGTCTATTGTAGATAGCTGTTCATCAAGCAGAAATAAAAAACAAGAGGCCTTTTGCATTAAATAGGAGATAGTTGCTGTATTTAACCTGTTTTTCAAAGGGAAAATATCCAACCTAGACTTTTTTCCCCCCTGAATTGTAGCATCACATTGAGGAAAAGAGGCCAATAAGTGGATGGTTGAAAGGACTTGATAGTACCATTTTTATAAGATATACTGTGGATCAGCCAGTCTGACTAAATAAAAGAAACGTTTGCATACTGATCCTATCATTTTTTAAAGTGTGTGTTTTAAAAATGTTGTTTAATGACTCAATAGATATGAGATGTGGAGTCTGGATTGCCTGTTTTGTGTATAATAAAGTATATACCTTAAGATATATAATACCATCTCATTTTCTGGGTATATTTTCTGATATTTCAATATCTTACATCAGAAACTCTAATCTTGGTATGAAATGGTATAAATATTTATGGTAATTGGGATTTATATACTTTCAGGAGAAAGCATCATAACAAGGACAAAGAAGCCAAACATTTTAAAATCTTTGTATGTATCAGAGGACTTTAGAAAATGACCAGAGTGTTCAATAGGAAAGTTGTGAATTGATTTTTTTCAGTAAAATAATTCTCAGTTGTTTTAATGTGCCTTGGGTATCTGGAAACGAGGAGTATGATCTTTCAATTTATGCTCATTGCTAATTTGGCTAGTTTATATACCATTTAAGCCTGCTGAAAAATCAAGTTTTACGATAGTAAATGCAGATTATTTCAGTTAGAACAGTCTTGACATCCTTTAAAGATATATTTACATCAAATTGATAAGGTTAGAGTCACTGGTTCATTTTTGTTAGCTTTACTTTGAATTTGTGACAAAGGGGTCTGATTACTTATTTTTAAAGTAAGAAAATACTGAAGTTGGCTAAAATTCATTTCTGTCTTTCTCAGTATCCTTTTTGAAAGAAATACATCATATCCTTATAAAACACAATCAGGCAGTTTCCCTTTTCTGTACATTTGAATTACATATAATTCTATGTATATAGGTTATATATATAGAATTAAAGAGTTTAATCTTTGTTTTTAAAAGAAAAATTCCTTAAGAATTCAGATTTAAAATTTTAGCTTTTAAAAAGTACTAATATACATTCAATTTGTTGTAAATGCAAATTACGTTATATAATTAGATAAGCATAATTGTTTGATATTGGATTTTAATTGTGTTGAAACCCTTGTCTGAGTTTAAGGCCTTACATTTGTATATGTGTATGCAAATGTAACAAAACTGTGAATCATAGTATTTGGCTTACTTAAAAATTGGGAGTTGCAAGTAAAGAAAAAATACATTATTTTTAGGGCAGGTTTTTTGGTTTTTGTTTTTAATTTTGGATAGACATGGCTTAAAGGTTGTTTTGAACTAATGGGTAGCCATTTAGGTTAAATATTTTTGCTGTCCACACCTAGGAAAAAAGATGGGTTATGGTCTCCTGGCCCTGTTAAGAATTAGAAAGAAACATGTAATTTCAAATTATCTTCCCCAAAGAACTTTTTGATTTACTTTCTTTTCTGGACTTTTACTTGCTTGGTCAGTGACCTACAAAGTTCTTTAAACAACCACTACTTAGTAAGTCTACTTCCAACATTACCTATTTGGGAATATGAAGGATATAGTTAGTTTTAGAAAATGAAGTAAAGGTCCAGTCAAAGTGTTAAAGGGTAAAGGTGGAGTTCAGTCTATTTAAATGGTGCATTATGATGGGAATCATTCTTAGTTTGAATTACAACAATGCTGCTCAGGAAATCAGTATTTTTCTTCTAAGTATGTGCATATTGCACTGTTAGACCATAGACATATTTGCTTTATTTAATTCATTTTATGTATGCAAAATTTATAAATCTTTTGTATAATGTATTTTATACAATTGCACAATGTAATAATAGAACATTATGTTAAGTGTACATCTGTAAAACTAGTTTTTAAAACTTTTTGCCCCTTGTTTTTCATATTTTAAAAGATGTAATATGTAATAAAGTTTCTATTTTATTATTCAATCTAAAATTCAGGCTGGTGAATTTAATTGACTAAATCAAACTTTTCTTCTCTACTTTCAAACTGACATTCTAGAGACACTCTAAGATTGATAAAGTTGCCAACGGTTTATGAGTTAAGATTTTTACTTGCCGTGCTTAAACAAAATCTTCTGGATTATTTATAGGTCATAAATGTAAAAAAAAAAAAAAAAGAAGAAATTTTAGAGGAAGGGTGTTTAGAGGGTTTTCCTCCTGGAAGACTTGCTCAGGCATGATCTACAACTTGCTTATGAAGTCATATAAAATGCTCTATTTATCTGTAAATTTTAATGGTAAGACAAAAATATTTCTCCTTCAAAAATACTAATTTTAAAAAATTAGAAGAAGCCTAATTGAGAATGTTCTTTAGAACATTTATTAATGGAGGAAACTGGGTTTTTTTCCATGTTTCTCCTTGATTTTCCCATTTTTAAAAGCATATTGGTCTTAAAATTGTGTTTAGATTTTTTTTGTTGTTGTTGTTAAAAGGAGATTTTTACAAAGTCCAGAAACTTTGGCTACATTAAAGTAAAGCTACTGATTTGAAGGTGGTAAGGGAGGAAAGGCTAAGAAGAATTGTCTGAATTTCTTAGCATTATCTGGTCATTTAGCAAACCAGTGATGACACTAATATTATACTGTCTGCCAAATCTCTTGGTTTGTCGTCACAACTTTTTCCTAATCAATCACATACCTAGAGTTTTCATTTGTTGTTTGTGATGCTTTATTCAAAGATATTTCACAGAGGTAACCCTGCTCAGTAAATACATAGTTACTCTGTAAAACCTGTATTTACAAAATACTTTTTCTTACCTATTAATAAAGGTTGAAACTAAAAATATTAAACAAAAGGAGACAATTTTATTTTTTAAGAATTTAATGTTAAATACAGAAAAATAAACATTACAGCAACTGGGTTTGCTTGTTATAATAATTTTAAAGACACATCACCAATAAGTATTTTGTGTTTATGTGTTTGTGTGTGTGTGTGTGTGTATGTATGTATACATACACACACACACACACACACACACACACATGTATATATTAAGCAATCTCTTGCCTTTCTGTGGAATAACTTCACAGTCTCAGATCTTCAACCAGAAAAAGAAAAGAAAAAGATGATTTGTGCTGGTAAAGCAATATTCAGACCCTGTCTGATCTCACGTTTAGCATACTTTAAAATTGTAAAAAGTTGTTCCAAAGTGGGGAAATAAGTTTAAATGAGAGATGGCCAGGACCCTCTCAAGAGTAAATCCCTGTCCAAAGGTGCTGGCCTAACTATCTTTAGGACTATAAAGACAAATATAAAGCTAGGAAAAGAAATACCTTTACCTTCAGTGTATTTGCTTGGTTCAAGCTTTGATCTGCACATTTATAATAAAGGAAGTAAACAAATATAGAAATAAGATTTCTATAAACAAAATGGTATTTGGCTGTGGTACACCAAAGGAAGTGAGAATAAAACACCTATGTTAATTATTCCCAAATGACAACTTTGCCATTATTACTAAAAACTTCATATGAGGTTTCTTTTCTAATAGATTGCAGCTCTAAAGAAGACTTATTCATATTTCGATTTAGAATCTTAAGATCTTTTGATACACTCCTTTAATGAGAAGTCACATACTATGAGTACAGCATTAAACTAATAAGATGGATTCTCATACCCATCTTGAATTATTTGAGGAAGTATTGTGATTGAAAATGATCTTTTTCCTGAGACAATCATGTTGCAAAATTGCACAAGACAATACAAATTTTCCCCACAAATGAAAGATGGGAAAACCTGATTATGAGGAAAACATTTGTTTCTCAAAATGTTTTTCAGTCACTTTCTAAGCTTCAACTATTTAAAAGATAAGAATCAAATTTAAGATATGATCATTTATTTCTCTAAAGTAAGAGAATGTAAACATGGTAAATTCTGGTTGGTTTTAAACACTTTATAGGAAGTAATTTACAAGCGGAAAAACTAAGGCACAGAAAATTAATCAAGTTTAAGTTTCATGGTTGAACTTAATATTACAGTAGAAATAAAATTTAGGGCTCTGACTCTCAGGTTAGTGGGTAATGAGTAATATCTTCCCAATAGGTAAAAATAAATTTTCTTCATTTCTTTTGGTGGGTAATGAGAAGTAGTCTTTTTTTGAAATCTATTATATGAATTTCCTTGAAAATCTTTGGCATATTTAAGTTTTTGGAGGCTGAGGTTTCTAGGCATTTTCTCCCCAGAATATAAAATGGCAGGGAGCTAGCTTTTAAGTTAAAACAAAAAAGATTAATGACCTGAGTTAATTCTATATTATAATCAACTATACAGCCTTTGAGTCCTGTGAAGCATAATAGAGGCCACTACACTAGACCAAATTCACACTCATGCTTTCTACCATGAAATTTATATAACCAGGACTTATGTACTTAAGTAATAAACAAGATAGATGTTTCAGTCTAATTTTTCAAAAGCCCAACTATTTAAACATGTCAAACTTACTACAGAGGATCACTAACATGTTTTGTATGGTATGAAGTTAGCCCCAAATTCAAGTATTTATAATATTCATCCCAAATGAAAGCCTCTCTGTACTGGCTGACATGTGAAATGTGAAATTTAAATAGATCAGATTGACCTTTTTCCCTGCATGTATGTTTTTGAACATTAAACCTCCAATCTTATAAGTTTGTACTTTAAGAGCCCAGGCAGGTTTAAGGAGTCATAATGTAATAGTATAGAACATAGCACGTAAAAGATAATTTTCAAGTTTCTTTGTTTTTAAAGTGCTCCATGTGCTATATTAAATCATCTTCAGGTGATAGAAATCCATTACAACTAGTAATAATTTTACAAAAAAGATCAGTTAAACAAGAATAAGTTGTTCAAGTATGTATGAATACATAGATTAAGAGATGCAAAAACTCTTTAGCATAATCAAATCCAAATAATACAAAAATCCACTAACATACACAAGAGGGATGGCAAAGTTGTTAAGGAGGAATGTCAGAGTGTCAGATAAATTTAAAGGGTAACTAATGTATAAAAGCAATTATGACTATTTCAGTAACAAATATTTGTCCAACAAAACATAAGTATGTCCAACTGCTTAGAAGCTATATAATCATTAATTTTTTTGAGAAATTTTATGGCTAATAGGTTGCTTCATCCATGTTGTCGTCACTTTCTGCACCAAAATCATCTCCATCTTCAAAATATGAATTAATGTAGTCATTTTCCTAAGTGAAATGATATATTTCTTAGTAAAACTAAAATTAAAAAGTAGTAAAATTATTATTAAAGAATACAATGAAGACTGTTCCTTTAAGTTTATAAATACCAAATTTAGGTAATAAAATAAAACAGGCTTACAAGAAGAGTCTTTGGTTTTCAAAAATCTCTAAAAGACACATTAGTTTTCATACATGTCTGCCTGTGCTACTTTCTTTCTCAAGACACCACTTCCTAGTATTCTCAGGCACCAACTACTTTAGACACATGAAGGTTTGGCCAATTCATCACAGTAGATATATCTAAAGCAGTTTTCCCTAGTGGGATGATACATCGTTTAGTGAACTTAAAATACCATGTATCTACCAAATGCCTGGACAGGCATCTCCTTACTTTGACTTACCTACATAAGTGTCTATGTCCAGCTTATTAGGATTTTTCCAGTCCAGAAAGTTGGCCTGGATTCTCTGGTGCCAAGATTCAGAAATGTCTAGAAACCTAGCTGAAGCCCAGAGCCTTGTACTGGGAAGGGATGTGGCAAGGGTGAGAGTTCAAATGAGACCACCATATAAATAGTCATAATTCTATATATAACCTTAGCACATATGCATGTGTGGAAATGTAAGCAAGACAACTTATACAGAAAAGTAGAAATGAGTAAGGAAGGGCAACTCTAGTACCCTAAAGTGTATATTACTTGGTTATTAGACATAAGCACTTCCTTCAACTATGTTCAGTGGTTTGAATGAGGTAATTTTGAGAAATCATACGATATACGAATAAAGTAGCAGAATCTGTTGAAACTGATGGCTCATTTGATCCTTGTTTTTTTCTTGAATTACAATATTAAAAACCTTGAATAAGAACAAAGTTTTTGCTGGGGCTGTAGCTCAGAGGCACAGTGCTTGCCTAGCATGTGTGAGGCACTGGGTTTGATCTTTAGCACCACATAAAAATAAATAAAGGCATTCAGTCCATCTACAACTACAAAAAAAAATTAAAATTAAAGAACAAAGTCTATATTTTCTTGATTTAATATATAGGTATTATACAGATAATTTGTTCCATTTTATCCTTCAAAACAAAATGCTCATGAAATTGACAATTCATTGAGTAAATTAATGCCACAAATTTTCTACTAAATAATTAGTAGCTAAAAAGAGCAAAAAGGATAACTTTACATCTAGAAAGGCTTTAATGGAGTTCTCTTTTCAATTTCTCACTCAAAATACCCCGTTTCTCTATTAGTTTGAAGAAGCTTTTCGCTTTTAATTTTTTAATAAAATGGAGTTATATGTACCCACTTACAAAAACAATGAATACTGGGACTCAAGAAGAACTCTGCACTGGGTTTTAGCAAAATACTGCACAATACAGTTTAAATCCACTGTAAAAGGAGATCTTAATTTCAATCCAGATGTGATCCACAGTCAACTCAAGTGGACTTTTCCAAAAATCACTGTTGTCCAGAACACTGCCACTACCCACTAGAATCTAGTAGCACTCATGTGCTAGTTTTGACAATCAAAACTGTCTCCTGACTTTAACTAATGTTGGTTTTGTCTTGTTTTGTTTGTTTTTTGTACTGGGGGTTGATCCCAGGGGCACTTAACCACTGATCAATATTCCCAGTCCTTTTCTTAATATTTTATTTAGAGACAGGATCTCACTGAGTTGCTTAGGGCCTCGGTACATTGCAGAGGCTGGCTTTCAACTTGCAATCCTTCCTGCCTCAGTCTTCTGAGTTGCTGGAATTACAGGCATGCAGGCATGCACCACCATGCCCACTAACTAATATCACTTAAAGGACAAAATTATTGCCGGCTGAGGAGACCTGATTGACAGCAACATGTTTGAATTAGGATCTACACTTTGCTCCTTCTAGTCCAAATAACTGAGCTTTCTACAATACCAGTATAATCACACTACTACAATTCAGAGACTAGTAGGAAGAACTCAAGATACCACAAAAAAATATAAGAAACATAAAAATGAGAAGCATTATATATCAAAAAGAAAGGGCATCAACCATTTTTCCCTTGGCACTTAGAACAATGCCTGGTGTACAGTAGATGCCCACAGTCTTCTTAATTGTTTAATTAAAATAAAAGAAATAATGTCTTAAAGGAGTTGTTATAATAACCCAATCAATAAATGGGCAAAGGAACTGAACAGAAATTTCACAGAAGAGGAGATATGATCAGTTAACAAATATATGAAAAAATGTTCAACATCTCTAGCAATTAGAAAAATGCAAATTAAAACTACACTGAGATTTCATCTCACTCCAGTCAGACTGGCAATTATCAAGAATACAAGAAACTATAAATGTTGGCAAGGATGTGGGTTCACTCATATATTGCCAATAGGAATGCAAATTGGTGCAACCACTTTGGAAAGCAGTATAGAGATTCCTCGGGAAACTTAAAATGGAACCACAATTTGACCCAGTTATCCCACTCCTTGGCACACATCCAAAGGACCTGAAGCTACATCAATGTTTATGGCAGCTCACTTCACAGTAGCTAAGCTATGGAACCAATCTAGGTGCCCTTCAACAGATGAATGGATAAAGAAAATGTGGTGTAGGTATATCCAATGTAATATTACTCAGCCATAAGGAAGAATGAAATTATGGCATTTGCCAGTAAATAGATGGAACTGAAGACCATCATTCTAAATGAAATAAGCCAATCCCAAAAAACTAAAGGTGGAATGTTCTCTCTGATATGTGGATGCTAACACACATAAATAGGTGTGTGTGGTGGGTAGAAGTTTGTTAGATTAGACAAAGGGGAATGAAGGGAAGAGAAGGAAGATGGTAACAGGAGAGACAGTAGAATGAACTGGACATAACTGTCCTGTGTTCACATATGAATACACAACCAGTATAGTTCCACATCATGAACAACCACAAGAATGGGAAATTATACTCCATGAATAATGTGTAAGATGTCAAAATACATTCTACTTTAAATATAACTAAAAAGAACAAATAAAATATTAGAATAAAAAGAGTTGTCATAATTTTTCCAAGTGTTGAATGTTTCAGAAAAGCCATGTGAAATAAGGACTAAATTTTGTCTGTGGTAGAGTTCACAACAATAAATTGAATAACATGGAGGTAAAAATCAGATTAAAAATTTCTCAATAGGGGGAGAGAGGTGAGCAAATGATGACAGCTGAAGCAGCTTTGTGACAGCATGAGAGTTGGAAGGACAATGTGGGAAGCATTTTATACTGAGAGATAAATATGTAAAAAAAAAATATTGAAAATATGGAAAGGAAAATAACCTGAGGCTTATGGTTTGAAAAAAAAAGGGCAGAATGATTAGCACCAAATAGGATGAAGGGAATTTCTTCCACTGATAAAAAAAAAAGCAAAGGAAGAGGTAAGACACTGAATTTGAAGACAGAGAATATGAAATTAAGGGAATTTCCTCTAATGGCTCTATTTTCTATATGCAGTAACTATTTCCTGCCAAGAGTGCAAGAAAAAGTGGTAAAGAAGTGAGAAGAACAAAGATTATCTGAAACAATTATACAGTGGTAATTTAACAAGAGAAACAGAAAATATGTTAGCTGACAAAGTGGGGTTACTATTTTATTTAGTGGCATTAGTATCTGTGATTCCTCAGAAATGCTCACTACATAGGTTTGAAGGGAAGAAGAAGCAAAGAGCATTAAAGATCAAAGACTGCTTTTGTCTAGATAGTGTGCTGGGAGACCAAACATAAGTCAGAGTAATGGCGAGAGAATGAAAGGTAAGCAAGGATCTAAGCCCCTTAGAGAAGGAAATTAAAACAGAACCAATAATAGGAGACTAAGGATCAGTTGTATCAGCAGTCTCAATCAGAGTGCAATGAGAAGAGTGATCTGGAAAGAGAGCTGGGTACAAATAAGACATGTTTAATTTTAAATGTTTAAACTTAAAATTTATCTGCAAGAATAAAGAGAACACTCAGGAAAATTCTGACAAAAAAGGGAAGCAGGAAAGACAGGCCAACTTGTTCCAGAAGTAGATCAATGGAAAAAGAGTTCAGACACACATCTATAGTAAATATGGCAATCTAATAATGGACAGAGGCAGAGTTTTAAATCAATGAGGAAAACAAATCATTTAACAAATGGGCTTAGCAGCCAGTTAGCCACTGGAAAAATAAATTCCATCTCTCCATTTATATCAATAGAAATTTCAAAAAATGCAAAATGTAATGCAAAATAATTAAAACAGAAAGTCTTCACATTTGGAGCTGTTTCAGGTGAAGACAAGATTCAGAATATGTTAAAAAGAAGGTGAAATGGAATGGCTGGGCACAAGTTGCATATATCTGTAATCCCAGCAACTTGGGAGGTTGAGGCAGGAGGATCAGAAGTTCAAAACCAGCCTCAGTAACTTAGCAAGGCCCTAAGCAACTTAACGAAACCCTGTCTCAAAATAAAAAAGATTAAAAGGGCTGGGGATGTGGCTCAATAGTTAAGCACCCTTGAGTTCAATCCCTGGTACCAAAAAACAAAAACAAAAACACATTGAAATGGACTGAAGATGAAGTTCAGCAGAACAGAGAAGAAACTCTTAGCCTAGGCTTGTTGTATGAAGTGTTGACACAGCTGCAAAGAGGCTATGACCAATAAACTTGATTAACTAACTCCAGCTTTTGAAATGCACCATGTTTCTAAAATTGGAAATACCAAATCCAAAACATGGAGTCCTGATTAAGCCAGACACCTGAAACTAAACCATCAATATTCTCTAATAATGTCCATGCTGTCATGGTACCACTGTAAGGACTCCCTTCCAGACCTGTATGACTAAACTCTCTACTACCTTAAGTGGCTGACTAAAGTTTTGATAAGATTTGTTAATTGCACTTAATCTGATAAATTGCCTTAATTTATGGAATTCCACTTACAAACTTGTGTAGGAAGTTACTTTATCTTTCAGTTTGGCATGATTATCATTTCAGTGCTATAATAATCCTCTTGATACCAAGGAATTGATGCCAGTGACAAGAATATACTTCTGGTTCCTATCAAGCTGGTTATTGATTTTAATTATAAACCATACATCTGATTACTTATTAGACAATCTTTATGGTTGGTAACTGTTACTCTCCCCCAATAGACCTTTACCTCCTCTTGCTCTTCTTCATCATACTCCTCCTCTGCAGCATCCTCATTGTCGTCGTCATCATCATCACCTTCTTTACTTTTCTCTTTGCTTCCTTCTTTTTCTTCATTTTCCTCATCTGATTTTTCACCATCACCTCTCTTTTCCAATTCCTGTATAAGTGACTTTCATTAATTTATATGGAAGCACTAAACTTTGACCTCCCAGCCCAGCCTAAAGAGAACATACTTTCCTCTAATCCCATTTTACCTCCACACCATGAGTTAGAAACCATAAGTTGACTCAAGAAAGGAAGCACTCACTGTCCTATAATTACATGAGTATTTCTTTGATTTTGTAACTTAATAGCTGGATCTTAGGTAATGCTGTGTTTGTCAGCTCTGATGCACAATGCTTTATTTTTATGATTTCTATCCTACCTCCTTCTAAAACATTTGACATGATTTAGTTTATAGAGAAAAACTTTCAGAATGTTATTTTGTTTCCCTTTTAACATAAAAGGAGAAAAAAAAGAATGTAATGGTAATATTTCAAATTGTCCATGTTTTTGTTTATAAGTGAGACTGCTGAAAACCACAGTGTCATTCTGGGAGAAAGTATCCTAATCACAGACTATCCCTGTCTATCTCTGTCTTGTTCTTCATTGTTTACTTCACATTTGCAGGATTTTATAATATATCTGGAAATTAAAATTTAGATCACACTCAACGCAACTCTAAAAGAGGAAACAAAGGAGAGAATCCAAATTATGAAAGTTTTGATTGCCTGATGGCTACACTTATCCACTTGGTAAAAATCATTATGCTACCTTCTCATGGCATATAAACTTTACTTTAAAATTGCACCTTTGCATTTCTATTATGACTACCAATGATTTTCTTCATTAGATAAAAAAGACCTGTTGTTATTACTGTCACTCTCCTAAATTGTACTATTGCTCACTTTGCAAATATGTTAGAAATTCAAAAGTCTTCTAGAAGGTAGGTATAACAATAATTTCATATTAATACTAATAATGAAGGCTTTATTTTGGCTAATTTGTTATTCTTTTTCGTTTAACATTTTTTTAGTTGTCAATGGATCTTTATTTAATTAATTTACTTATATGTGGTCCTGAGAATCAAACCCAGGGTCTCACACATGCCAGGCAAGCATTCTATCACCATGCCACAACTCCAGCACCAATTTGTGATTATTCGTAAGTAGTAATTAGAACACTTATCCATCAACAAATGCACCATCTGTTTCACAATATATGTGCTTTGTAGATTATATATGAACAGAAAACCTGTTATATCTGAGATGGTTACAACTTAGCTATTTATTTGTTGGTTCTTAAATATTTATTTTTAAAATCCTTTTAATTATATCCAAGTTGAAGTTAAAGAAATCAAAGGCAATGAGAGGACATCATGTAGATTCAATTTCTTAGCAAGATCTCCTTTTCCTGTGTATACACACTCCTCTCAGGAAGAACAAATAAGACTAAGGTAATAGACATGAGATGATTTATTTTGATACCGTCTTTTATGTTGCCTTGTGAGTTATTACTACCTTGTAATGTGTGTGATTTTTCCAACTGGCAATGTTCTCGGAAAAATTACAAGTAAACAAAATACTTGCAGATAAAATAGATCTTTTAAAACATCTGTAAAACACACACACACACACACACACATATATATATATATATATATATATATATATATATATGATACTGTGTTAATACTAATTAATAAATGGCATTTTGTCTTTTCTATTTTAATCAGGTCATAAATAAAAAAGGCCTGAAATGCATAAGTTTGTGTAGTTAAAATGGAAATTGTGCTATAATCATTTAACTCTGTGCAAGGTATTTACTGTTTCTGAAAAAAAACTATTAATTATTGTTTTATAATTAGTAGTTATTTAACCAGTTTATGGAAAATATTTTTTAAATACAGAACATTCAGTGTGACATAGGGATAAGGAAGTCTACATTTTTACTACTGTCATCTCAAATATCTTTAAATAAATAACTTCATCTTTCTACCCCACAGACCCAAACCAAACCCATAAAGTACTTAAGTAGATTAACAAACAGAAGAGTTCTATGACATTCTGTTAAAAAGTGATTCCAGAGCCACACAATTTATCTCAATACTTCCTCCTTCTGGGCTAAGGTACCGGTGTGAGCCCTTCTGATTGGTAGCTTCCATTTTCTCTTCTATGTTATTTAACTACCTAAGCTTATTACATTAAATATTTAAGAATAAAAAATAATAATATAATGTAAAATCATTTCAAAGACAGTTCATTTACATATGGAGAACTGTTCTTTTATCCTAAATACTATACAGGCACCACATAGAACCTCCCCTCTATGTCATGCAGAAATAAGAAACTTGTATGCCAGTTTATTGATGGCTGATTATTCATGAGATCTGACTGTATGTTGCTACCTCCCCATATAAGGGTATTCTATCAGTTTGAACCTCCTTTTGCTGAACAAATGAACAATCACAGAATCAAATAGAAATAGCTCTCGTAATATTAAAGTTGCTAACTCACTGGGATATCTAGATCTAAAACTCTAATTTTAACACTGTTTTCTGGAAATGGTATTAAATGTAAAGAATAAGAAAATAGTTTGTTCTGAAGAGAAACCACACCCAGAGGTGCAGATTAATCTTCCCTATAGCTTCTTACAGTCATTGCAGCAACTTTTTCCAGGAGGCTTTAAGAGCAGCCAGAACTGTGTTCAATCAGTACAAGCTAGATGTCCTGCAATCTCATCTATCATTCCACCACAGTTAAGCCTGACAGTTATTACTATTCCTTTATCAATCCTCTGGCTTTATTTTCCAGACATGTTATCTCAGGCTCAAGTATGGGCCAAAAAATAAAATAGCAAAAAAATGAGTTTCTGCCACCAAGTAAATGTGTCAGCTTGATCTGGCAAGTAATTGTGTTTACACCTTTGACTTCCTCCTCTGTAAGTAAGGAATAATAATACCCACCTCTCTTTTGGTGTTTCAAACTCTTAAGGTAATACTGCATGTAAAGAGCTTGTCAAAGAGCCTGGCACATAGTAAGTTCTCAGTAACTTACTGCTATTATCATCATCAATGCACAGTAAACACACACATTGGTATTGTGAGTAATTTAGTATAAACTCCAGGGAGAGCAATATGGCAATAATTAATCATTTTATATGTAGAAAAAACAATTGGCCCAACAAATCCATTACTAGAAATCTACTCATGTGAAATGACATACTCAACATGAACTTATTGCATCATTATTGATAATAGTGAAACACTACAAAAAAACATAATGTCCAGCATTAATTGAATTAATTAGGGCACATTCTTATAGTATAGTCACCAAAAGAATGAGGCAAGTTTTGATCAACAACTAATAATAATAATAATAATAAAAAGAATGAGGCAACTCTATACAGACTGATATGGAACCACCTCCAAGATATTTTGTTAAGTGATAAAATGAAGATGCAGAAGACTGGGATATACTGTCTTTTGTCTTTAAAAAGGGAGATTCTGTTTTTGTTATACATAAAAATATTCTGGAAGGCTATACAAGAAACATTGATAGTCAACAGTGAGGGAAATAAATGACTGGGAGAGGGATGGGAGGGCAAATTTTCAGTCTATTAACGTTCTGATTTATTTTATCTGTTTATTTTTTAAAATAGTATCTTTACTGTTAACTTGAAGCAGAAGGATCACAAGTTTGAGGCCAGATTAATGAGACTGTTTGAAAATAAAATTTAAAAAGGGCTGGGGATATAACTTAATAGTATTGCATACCTGGATTAATTCCCCCATATTGGGGGCAGGGACATGGAAAAAAGTAAGTGGGGCTGGGAGGTAAAGAGAGAAGAAAAAGATAAAAAATTAATTCCGTAAGATACAATTTTTTCCTCAATAGAACCTGCTATATATATTATAAGACATGAGGGGGAAAAACATTTTAAAAAGTGCATATATACTAACAGGAGGAAAAACGAGATTTTTTTTTTTTAAAGAACTATATTTTAGGCAACCTTTTCATGTTTCTCTCCTCTCCACAAATAATTCAAATGCAAGGGGAAAATAGGGATATGGTAGAAAAGAAAGCCTGTGGTAGAGGTTGAGGTACTTTGCCAGGTAAGTGGTCAAGAAGGATAGGGGGGAGGGAGAAGTGGGAAGGGGGGAATGGGGAGGTTTCCAAACGTCCCAGGTAACAAAGTTCAAACCTTCTCATTGGCTTTTGTGGAGGTTAGCTTCTGCCAAATCCATTTATTAAAAAGTAAGAGAAGGCTGAAAGGTTAAAGTGAGAAGGAATCATTTTTACATATTTTCAGTTTATTTTTATAGTAAGAAGAAAACCCTACCTCAATTTTTTTCAAAACATCTGCAGTATTAGCGAGTGAAGTACCTTTGTCTGTATCTTTTGCCTTTTTGGATTTTGGGTCTGCTGAAATAAAACCACCAGTTAACATATTTTTCTATAACAGCAACCATCATTATATTTTTGTGCCTTTTCATATGCTGAATAGTATAGTAGTATGTCACATGAAGCAGTCACATAATTTTAGACTGAATTTATTTTCTCAAAGAGTAAACAAAATAAATCATCACACCTCTCCAATGTCCAATCAAAACAAATGATAATCACCTCATAAGATATATTTTAAGACTGTAGCCAGATATATTTTTACTAAGTACTGAAAATTTGAACTTGCAATTAGTACCATTAGGGACAACATTGCTAAAACGTTACCTCAGGTGGAAGCACTTTATTACCAGGAAATGCTCCCAAAATTTTATCTGCATCAGCTTTCTGTTCAGTCATTAGCATTTCATTTTAACCAAAGCAATGTTACTAGGTTTGAAAAATAAAAAAGAAGTGTTGGATAAATATGCACTTGCTAATGGTAAAAGAGACAAGAAAGAGGTTTTATTTGGTACAATAAAGAACTACATTTGGAGGGAAGAGTAAAAGGGTTAAACTGAACACATCCATCATATAAATCTCAAAACTCAAAACATATAAACTAAACATTCTAATTTGGGATATATAATTTGTTTTACCCATATAAAAATATTGCCTTTAAGGCTATTCTGAAACTGCATAGAAAATAGAATTATTTCACACATAAATTCTGCCAGCTACCAAAGCATTATGATAGGCTAAAAATTGTACCATTATCATCAAAAGTATTACATCTCTTTTCCAAGATCAAACTAAATATCTAGAAATTACTTGTTAACAGAAGAAAGCATGGCTTAGAAAGATGTAATTTTATTAAATATTAACACTTAACCTACAGAAGAAGAAATTTTTAGATTGTGGTGAATGACCTATAACTGACGGAATTACAATTTACTGTGTTATACCAAATTACCCCTTTAGGAGTTATTGAGCTCAGAGCTCCCAAACATGTATTAGTGAGGTTTGCTCAAACAAAAGTGACAGATGTAATGATCTTTATCTTTCTCTGCCCTCCTTAAGGGCAAATGCTCTTTAATATGAACTGTGGCACACAGAGTATTGCATATGAATGAGATCTGAATAAATATTGTAATATCAATGACAAAAACCTATTAGCTAAGAATGTGATTTACCCATATCATGAAGTCTTTTGCTCTAAGGAATACTTATCAAATTATTTAATTTCATAATATATAAGTCTGTTAAATGGATACTATACAAATGGTCAGGTAAATATTCTTATATAAATTACTGATTTGTTTACTAAAAGTCAGTTACAAGAACTGGGGCAGAGCACTTTCCTAGCAAGTGTAAAGCTGGGTTCAATCCTTAGCACGGCATAAAAATAAATAAATAAAAAACAATTAAAAAAAAAAAGAATCACACCAATCTATATTTAAGAAAAAGAAGTCAATTAAAGAATTGAGTCCACTCAGCATTTTTGCTACATATTATTTGGGTTTTATATAATGCCTAATCCTATATGAATAATTGGGGGAAAAGTATCAAAGACTATTTTGCTGCCAAATATAGCCAAATGTATGCATATATTTGAAATTTTGTTTGTTTCTCTTTCTTTCAACACCTGTCAGTAACTGATTCTTCAAGAAAACCTTTTTTCTCCTACGACTCTTTTGGTACTGTTTACTTTCTCTAAATCAGTGAAGGCCATCAAAAGGGAGAATACAAGCCTATGAAGAAGAAACCAAAAAAATTACACCATGTGCATAAAAATATTATAACAGAATGGGAAAAAGAAAGTTTTGTTATTGTTTTGATTTTTAATAAATGGAATTCTGCTACACTGGAAGATTTTACAAGATTAATGTATACATAAAGCTCCAAGGATGAGCAGTCCTTGAGAAATATTTGAAAACATTAATTCTAAAATGGACACATTTTTTTCAGCTCTTGAAAGTCTACTACTGATTTATGATCCATGAAGACATCGCCAGAATCTTTCATGCACATGTAAGTAGATAACTCTGATATCTCCATACTTTTTGTATTCAAGCTAAATATTTTATGTAATAAGACTTTAAAATAAGATAGAAATACTTCCAATTTATATAGATAGATAGATATTTATGTTTTTACACATATGTATACATAAAAACAAATTATATCCTTCAAACTGTACACTTTACTATATGTCAATGATACCTCAAAAAGCTCTTAAAAAAGCAATGGGTATTTCCTCTTCTCTTAGTTGCTAAGTGCACCGTTCTTAACTTCTCTGGCTACTCCCTTTTTCTTGATGCCAAAATTCTCTAAAGACTCATCTACACTAGAGGTTTCCATTCCTAAGGTCCCACTTACTGCTTAACCTATTCCAATACAGACCTATCCAAGTCATTTAAAAAGTTCTCCCTGAGGATACCCATGACTGATATAAAAAGATAAACTGATGTTTTTCAATCTTTGTCTTACCTGACCTGTCTGTAGCATTGTTTAACCTCCATGAACACTGCTGACCACTTTCTGAAATATCCTTCCCAATTATAGGTTCTTCCTCCTGTGGCTCTGGTTTCACCTCTCCCTCTCTTTCTACTTTTTCGCTCTGCTGATTCAATTTCCTCTACCAGTCCATTAAATGTTGGCATTACTCCAAGCTCAGGCCCTCTTTCCTCTTAATTATCGAATTGCATCCTAGATGATTTCATCCCTTCTCACAACTTCAACTATCATCTCTCTGCTGATGACTACCACCTCCATTCTAGGTCCACACCCCTGTTTCCCACAACATGGTCAAATATTTCTGTTTATCTCAAAGAAACCAGAAAAAACATCTCTGAACCAAATTCATGATTTTCTCTCACAACCTGATCTTTGTCCATGTCCCTCCAAACACCTCATGTTAGTAAACGCCTACTCATCATTCAATATCAACTCCACTTTTCCTAGAAGAACCATTCCCACACCTCCCAATGAAGGCAGTCATTTAATGTTTTTTTCTACATTTAACTGGCAACTCTAGAAAGGCATAGACAGTGCCACAATGCTCTGTGTTTTATTCCTCTGAACATAGTGTCTGGCAATAGCAAATACTCAATTATTTACTGAATGGAATTACTAAAGAAAAACAAAATGCAAACATACACTTTGGTATTTGTATATACAATATAATTCTATTTTACCAGTTTCCCAGTTGTATAATATTTTACTGTAGCCAGTATAATCATCAAAAATTTTGTAGATAGACAAATGAAAAAGTCTATATAATTGAAAAGATTCTCCTAGCACACAAAATTTCCAAAATTGAAAAAAGGACAACAACTAAACAACCCCCCAAAAACCCATAATAGTTACAAAAACAAAGCTTTGACATAACAATCAAAATGCTAGGCATATTTTAAGAAAAAACATTCAGAACACTGAACATAACTTCAGGTTGATAATACTGTTAACATAATTAAGCAACAACCTTCTACCTGCATTACTATTGCTACTAAATGTACCTTTTTTGCATTTTTTCCTGGGCATCATCTCTCTTGGGAGTCTTCTCCAATCTGGTGTACAAAAGAAGAAATATAAAAATCTCCATTTCCTCTAGGAATCAGTGGTATTGGATATATTTAAAGATATGCCAGTTGCCCATTTAATGACAATAAAATTTCTTAGTATCAAACTGTATAGATTTAAACTAAAATATAAGGAATATAACAGACAACGATAAATTTTCTCCTATAAAGAAAAAAATGCATTGAAATAACTTTGAAATAGTGCAATGAAATTTGGTGGGTACAAAATCTTAGAATAATTCTTTGGGGATGTTAGAATTACAACTTTTTTTGTTAAATATTATTTATTATATGACTACTTCGTAGTTTGTTAGTTTTCTCTGGCTGATAGATATTTCTTATGTATCTTTGTTTTTTCAAAAGTTAGGACTTGTGACCACAATACCAATACATGTGAAATGAAATAAACAATTCTAACAATTATCTGAAAACTTAAAAATATAAATAGATGTTGAAAGATAAATTCCCTCCAATAAATGTTTTTTTTTTTTTTTTTTGCTTAAATTACTTCTTCATTTTCTTTGAATTTTGAGGGATCTAGGGGGAGAGAACTACCAGTGATTGAACCCAGGGCTCACATATGCTAGGCAAGCATCCTACCACTGAATTATACTTCCAGCCCCTACTTTTAATTTTTAAGTATAGAGATAAGCAGAAAATTGAAGCAATATAAAAGCAGATTTAATAATACTCTGTTAATAAATAAATTGTGCATTTGTACAAAAGTTAAGTCTCAAGTCATTTTACATGAATTAATAAATTTTGCTTTTAATCTGTTTTTATAAACTACTCATAGAAGATCATAAGTATGTAAAGAATCATTTGAGAGATGATTATTAATGAAACAGAAGAAATGAGAGGGATCTATGAGTATTTCCAAGGGGCCCCAATCTTCTTGGTTGATTAACTTGAAAAGAGCACTAAAATCCATGAAAATGATAATGCTATTAGTACCACTTAGAAATTTACATAAGGGAATTTCTATAAAACTATGAACAAAGATAAAAGGTAAGTGAATTTAAATGAAGAAAACTGAGTTCTAATGTATTGGAAAATGACCCTGATGGATCATTTCATTTCTATAGCAACTGCTTTTTATTCACAAATGAACGGGCTGGTTGAGACCTCCCCCACAGCCCATTCAACCCAAGGTAAAATTTTACATGTTGAAAACAAAACTCTTTTAGTTATGGTTCTAATGAAAAGGCATGCTAGCAACTAAAACTAGCCTATGTCTGCCTGAAGGAAAGGAAGATCCATGGGCTCGATTTAAAATATCCTTAAAACTAGTTTTTTACTCTGTCCTCAAAAGCTTTAAAATCATTCAAGAGCAAAGAAGTAAGTGTTCTTTGCAAATTAAAATTGTGACTGTGGCTTCTGAATCTAGAAAACCCAAAAGGCTTTAGCAAGTCCTATTTTTATAAGAATGTATTGTTATGGTATCAAAATCTTTTCCTCTTGGTTTCCAAAAGATTTACATTACAAATGAGTTACAGAAAATGAATCAGACTGTTTTCCTATGGTGAAATAGAAAACTTATCCTCAAAAAAGTATTTTAAGATCATCTGTTTTATAATACCTGGTTTCCACTCTTCTTTGTATACCTTCATATATCTTTTACTATACCTTTCAATATCTAGGGGAAAAAAGAAGAACAAAAAAAAAATCCATTAGAAATATCAAAAACTTAAGCCATTCTTCTAAAATAGTTGCAAACATCTGATAACATCTCTTATTTTATCTTTGGGAGTTTCCTACACCATCATACAATAGCTCGAAAGAATGGAAATTTAAAAATCAAGGACTAAATCAAGGATCTAAATTTCTTCTAGAAAATGCTCCCAAGTAGTACAATTATGTACAATTAACAAACTACTTGTTAATTGTACCTTGTATTAAGAGAAAGATAACTAAGAACAAACAGAGACAACCAGACAGAGCAGGCTTCTTTAGGTACTTAACTTACTTCAGATTAAATGTTTAATCCTGCCCTCAAAGTTCTCACTCATAAAAAGAGGTCAACAGAAATGAGGGGGTTATGCATTACAATTATTTCTTTTTTAGAATTTTCTGCAAAACAGATTCTATATGTTGAAAAAATTTAAATAGTATCTTAAGAAAAATTGTTTTAGCCATTCATCACTTGGGTCCAATGGAGGTTTTTTCTTTAACATTTTTTCAATATTTTTAAGTTACTTCCAAATTTACAGAAAATTAAAGAAATTATGAAAACCAACTATTGGAACCCAATTTAAGGGTCAAAAAATATGCATAAATTTCCCCAAAGAAAATGTATTACAGAACAAAGAACACATGACATTCTGCTTAACATGTCAGCTGGAAAATTAATATCAAAAGCACAATGAGATACACTTTATGTCCACAAAGATGGCTAGAAGGATGGCTATAAAAAAGACAACATGAGGACAAGGTGGTGAAGAAATTGAAGAATTTCTGTTGATGGAAACGTAAAATGGTATAGCCACTTTAGAAAAAAGTTTGACAGTTCCTCAAAATGCTAAATATAGTTATCATTTGATCCTAAATATATACCCAACAGAAATAAAAACAAATACCCTCGCAAAATATGTACATGAATGCTCACAGCAGTATATAGCCCCAAAGAGTCACTGACCCAACTGCCCATCCAGTGGTAATGGATAAGCAAAATGTGGTATAGCCATTCATGGGATAGTATTTAGCCATGAAAAGGAAGGGGCCGGTGCAATTCCAGTGAATTGGGAGGCTGAGGCAGGAGGATCACAAGTTCGAGGCAAGCCTCAACAACTTAACAATGCCCTAAGCAACTTAGTGAGACCCTGTCTCAAAATAAAAAAGTAAAAGGGGTTGTGGATGTGGCTCAGTGATTAAGCGCCTGGTTCAATTCCCAGTACCAAAAAAAAAAAAAAAAGAAGGAGGGAAACACCAATACATACTCTACTATGGTGAACCTTGAAGATATTATTCTATGGGAAAGAAGCCAGTCACAAAAGGACACATAATATATCATTCTATTTGTATGATCTGTCTAGAACAGACACATTCCTAAAGACAGAAAGCAGATTAGTGGTAGCTATAGTCTGAAGGTAGGGGAGAATGGAGAATGTCTACTAATGGGCATCGGGTTTCTTTTCAGGATGATAGATTAAAAAGGTTCTAAACATTAGATAGTGGTGTTGGTTGCATATAACTTTTTGTCTACACCAAAAATGATTACATTGAATACTTTGAAAAGTAAATTTTCCCTGTGTGAATTATATTTCAATAAAGATATTATTTTTTTACTGGAAGTTTTACTAAGAAATTAAGTAAAATAAATCCAAATTTATATTTTATGTTTTACTGGTTTTGTAGGTAAATTTACTCCAAATGGACAACTTTCTTTGAATACAGTTGATTGATTGTATCAGCTGTTTATACAAAAACCTACAATGTATATATTTTGTAATATACTGATTGTAGATCTCAAATATCTTTGTTTAAAAATATATTTTTTAGTTGTAGATGGACACAATGCCTTTATTTTGCCTTATTTATTTTTATGTGGTGCTGAGGATCAAACCCAGTGCCTCATACTTGCGAGGCAAGCACTCTGCCACTGAACCACAATCCTGCCCCTCAAATATATCTTTTAAAAAAAATTTTTTTAGTTGTAGATGAACAATACCTTTATTTCATTTATTTTTTTTAAGTGGTGCTAAGGCTAGAACTCAGTGCCTTACACATGCTCTACCACTAATCCACAACCCCAGTCCTCAAATATATCTTTAATGAGTTTAAACTTATCATTACTCATGGTTTTCTCCTGACATTTGCATCATCTAAATGATTCCAGATTACAAATGTATTTCTTTTCTCTCTCTCTCTCTCTCTCTCTCTCTCTCTCTCTCTCTCTCTCTCTCTCTCTCTCTCTCTCTCTCTCGCTTTTTTTTTTTTTTTTTTGCGGGGGTGGGGAGGTACCAGGGATTGAATTCAGAGCACTTGGCCACTGAGCCACATCCCCAGCCCTGTTTTACATTTTATTTAGAGGCAGAGTCTCACTGAGTTGAGAGCTCAAGTGAGAGCTCATACTTCAAGAGCTCATACTTCCAATGAAGAGGGATGGCTCAGTCATCTTTGCTCCATATTTGAAAAACATTCTCATTATTAAACTTATAATCACCACCGGATGTGATGGCACCTGCCGGTATTCCCAGAGAATCAGGAGGCTGAAGCGAGTTCAAAGCCAGTCTCAGCAACTTATGGAAGAATTAAGAAACTCAGGGAGACCCTGTCTCTAAATAGATACAAAAAAGAGTTAGGGATATGGCTCAGTGGTTAAGGGCCTCTGGGTTCAATCCCTGGTACCAAAAAAAAAAAAAAAAAAAAAACATTGAAATCATTAATATGATCAACCCAATAAACTGTTTCATTTCTACATAATCTATTTTTTCTTAATCATTTTTGGTTTTGCCTTTGACTTCAGCATTTGTCTGGTTACAAACAACATTGAATAAATTTTATGTGCAAATATCATAAAAGAAAAGAATATGTCACAAGATATTTTAGCAAACAGGATGTTTCAGATTCATATTATAAAATATTATGGGATGAGATCCTTTTCAGATAACATATTTTTAATTCTTAAAGATGTATTGTTTACTCATTGATTCTTGAATTTGAGAAAATTCATCTAAGATATAGTCATCTGAAGACTCACCGTCTGAGATTTTAGTTACATAATCAATTTCTCCATCATTATTAGTGCCCAGAGAGCTGGCATATATCTCTTTGCATTCAACTTCTGATTCATCTAAGAATTGTGAAATATCTTCCTCTGTCAGTTTTCTTCTTGCCATTATGAAGAGAAAATGAAAAATTCTGAATTCTCAATTGTATTCAAAACTAAAAGAGGACAAAACAACTGCAAAGATGGGGATCTCTACAGACTTCTTTTATATCTTCTTAAAAACTGATGTGACAGAAGGGCACAGTGGTATATTCCCATAATCCTAGCTACTCGGGTGGGCTGATGCAGGAGGATCTCAAGATCAAGGTCAGCCTAGGCAAATTAGTGAGACCTTGTCTCACAATAATTAAAAAATACAAAGTTCTGAGAATAGTTCAGTAGTGTCAAACTAGCATGCTGAGTTTGACACCTAGCACTGCAAAAGAAGAGAGGAAAAAGAAAAAAAAACAATGATGTAATACTTCAGACAATAGGACAACTGAAGGACAGCATAATAATGATGATTTATTTCAACACTGCACCATCCTTCTGTGTAACTTCATCAGAATTCCATTTTTAAAAATTTTAAATCGCCAACATAATGTGGAATACTTGATGAATGACAATGGAATTATTACTGTGATGATGAAATAGCAATCTGTTTCAAGATATGGGGAAAATAAGATCACACAGAGTTCACAGTCTATTTTTAATTTGTAAAAGGGTTCAATGAGCTGATAGGGTCAAAGATAAAATGAGTTCTCTTTTCTTTTTTATTCATTTATTTATTTATTTGGTAAATTTCTCTTTGTTTGGAAAACCTTTATGAAAGAATAAAAGTTATGAATATCAATCAGCACAAATAGTAGCAATTACTCAAAAAAGAAATTTAAAAATTTAAACTGGTTTTCATGGACCCTGATGGTATACATTGACAAATAAACAAAACCCTATTTATTCAATGATTGACCTTGTGGCCTTACTGCAGGTAAGCGTAAAATTCAATTAAGCTTTTGAAGTTCTTAAAATGGCTTAAAGAACCATCACTATAGTCATGATCCTGTCTCTTTGTCTGCAGACCATGTAGTTCAGGAACCTGAGCTGAGAAGCACTGGACTAGATGATCTCTATACTCTTGTGACTAAAACTCATTAAAATAATATTGATTGGTGTTTTTCCATTATAAAAAATAATAAATTTTATCACAAAGAAAACACTATTCATTTATATAATTTCCCCTGAAAATACTATAACTTTTAAAGATATCACAATATGAACTATTATTTTATGCCTATGCCCTCTGTTCTTTGAAAGATCTCAATTCCCTGATCCATCAGCCAATAATTATCAGAAAGTCTTGCAATTTCCCACCCTAATTGTTTGTACTAGTCTCTAGTGACTTAGTTCTCGACATTAGTCTATAAATCTCTCTTTCCTAATGCCCCCAGGTGGTAAATAAAAGGGGGAAGACTGGTGGAGGTACCATCATATAACACTTCATCTGGAAAATGGTTCCCTTGGAGAATTGGGTACTTCTGTTCTGTCTGGACAATCGTTTTTATTCCATAGTATGTATTTTATATATGTTTTTTATACAGCAATCCCCCCACCACCACCATACATAGTTTTGCCTCCTGTGGTTTCTGTTATTGGTTTCGTCAAACTGATCTGAAAATATTAAATGGAAAATTCCAGAAATAAACAAATCATGTTTTAAAGCATACCTTGCTCAGTAGCATGATGAAATCTCATGCAGTCTAGTTCCATCCCACTTAGGACATGAATCACCGCTTTGTCTAGGATAGCCATACTCCATATGCTACCTGTCCATTAATCGCTTAGTAGCCATATCCATTATCAATTATAGTACCAGTGTTTGTATATAGGTTTAGGTACTCTCTGTGGTTTTAGGCATCCACTGGGGGTCTTAAAAAATACCCAACACCAGTAAGGAGGGGACTGCTGTGTATATACATATATAAACCTAGATACATACATATGAGTAAGTATATTGTAAAAGCATATATATGAATGTCTATATTTTATTTAAAAAACCTTTATTTTCAATCAATATTTTTTTTAGTTATCAATGAACCTTTATTTTACTTATTTATATGCAGTGCTGACAAACAAACCTAGTGCCTCTCACATGCTAGGCAAGCACTATACCACTGAAATATAACCCTGGCCCCTAGGCCTTGAATCAGTATTTTTCAAACACATTACATCAAGAATGACAGGTAAACATGAGGATTTCAAGGAGAATTTACTTGTATCAATTTAAAAATTCTATAAAAGTTTTCTCCTAAAAGAAACGAAAGCAAATGATTCTACATAGATTTATATTTTATTGTATAGTTAACAACAAAAAAGTACCCCTTGATCCAGGGTTACAAGCCAGCTACTCCTACACTATATTATGTTCTTAATTAAACCCTGTTTAAAAGAATCACATAAATGCTTGAATGAATTTGATACCTTTTTAAATGAGACATGTGCTTAAATGGCAACATTAAATTAAGCAAATCTGTCCCATAATCTAGAGAAAAGACTAATTTCAAGAGAACTAAATTATACCCTGACCTATCATTTTTTCTAGTAAGAATATTTATTTAGTTCATTTAATCTTTATTAAATCTAAAAAATGAGAGCTTTAATTTCATTTTTAAACAGAGACAAAAGCATGCAATATAATCATAAAAGAAAAAAGTTAAGTAGTTTTGAGGAAAAATATTTCTTATCAAACCATTAAGTAACTTCAAGCAATATGTTTTGAAAATTAAGTGATCTTGCCTAACATTGCTTATTATGATCACATATCACCATAAGACTTCCTTTTTGACTCTTAGCCAATTCTGTCTTTCAGAGAGAGAAAAATGTAATGCATTTTCAATACTAATGGAATGAGATGATATCACAAGAGTGTCTCATGGTTTAATGATGTTGTTTTAAGAACTCAAGATGTATTGATTTCTCTAATTTTGATAAGTAAGGGCAGAAACTGAAAATCAATATAGTTCTACTGTGCTAAATAACTACTCAGGAGTGGGTTCATGTTCTCTAAAACTACTTCCCACCTCCATTCTGAAACTGTTGAGCCTTTTCCTCTCTGCCCTTAGCATTAGTAATGTATACATATTTTCGATTTTTAACCTAAATATTAAATAATTAGAGATATGCATAAAACAATAGTAATCATAGCATTATATACCTGAGCAAAAAACTGTAAGTAACCTTATATCTAACAACAGTGAATTATTTACAATTAATAATGCTATATCTACACAATGTAATAACAAATAGTTACTAAAACTTGTACTTTCCACTAGGTGCAGTGGTGCACACCTGTGATCCCAGCTACTTGGGAGGCTGAGGCAGAAGGATCACAAGTTTGAGGCCAGTCTCAGCAACTGAGAGGTACCATATCTCAAAATAATAAAGAGATAGGAGTGTAGCTCAGGGATAAAGTGTTCCTGAGTTTAATCCCCAGTACAGCAAAAAGAAAAAAAAATCTTGTACCCTGAGTTTTTTGAGAATAAAAAGGATATGTGAAAATGCTAATGTTACTGGGTAAAAAGCAGAAGGAAAGTATGTAACACAATTTTATAAAGAAAAAATATAGAACATACAATAAAATATTAATAGTTGTTCTATATACATAGGCCCTGGGTAATTTTCACCTTTTAAAAGTTTTTTAGTTTTCATAATTTTCACTGAACATATATAACTTCTATTATAAGAAGTATTTTAAAATATCAAGCCAGGTAGTGGTGCGCATGCCTGTAATACTAGTGACACTGACACAGGAGGATCGAAAGTTCAAAGTCAGCCTCAGCAACTTAGTGAAGCCCTAAGGTAATTCAGTGAAAATATAAAAAGGGCTGGGGATGTGGCTCAGTAATTAAACTCTCCTGGGTTGAATACCCAGTATCAAAAAATAAATAAATAAAATAAAAAAATGTACAAAATATCTTTTCTTTCAAATCAACCATACATTTTTTAAAGGAGGTTGTTAATCTCCAAGCAAATCAAATAAACTTGCATTAAATGATCACATATTTTATACTTAGACATTGTTTATCCAGTCATTAAATCACAACATGAAACAGACTCATACGCACCTTGTTTTTCTTCAGGTGTTTCAATAAAATAAGGCATTCTTTTCATTGTTTCTCTCAATTCCTGTTTCAAGGCCAGCATATAATCTTCCCCTTCTCCTGTTTTCAGTGGCACTGGTTTATAATCTGTATCCTGTTTTAATTAGGAAACAAAGGTGTTTTTAGTAAGTTAAATATTTAACATCTCTTTCATCTACATTCTAGAGAATGTCAATTTTATTTAATTTTACAGGTATGTGTTTTATAGGCAATAACTTTTGCAATTAAAAGATGTTGAGCTTCCATAATCTATTTATCTTTTAGCCATTCCTACTTTATTCTTATTTTAGAGGTATGAAAGGAGCATAATTTTTTTTAATTGACCCTAAAAATTACACTGAAAATCATTTTGTTATATTGTCTATCAAACAAAGTGATTCCATAGCTTAAAAATCAAGGCACCCATATGGGAGAAACTGCTCTAGTTTCTATTAATCTCAACTATTGATGATGTAATTGTCGGAAGCAATAGCATAAGAATACATACATAAATAATAGCAATTATCATTTAACAAGTAGTTATTATAAACAGGATAATCTCAATATTCAACATTCAGTCGAGTATGGTGGTGCATGCCTGTAATTCCAGTGACTTGGGAGGCTGAGGCAGGATGATTTCAAGTTCAAATCCAGCCTCGGCAATTTAGCAAGGCCCTTCGCCAACTTAATGAGACCCTGTCTTAATATAAAAAAGAAAAAGGGGTGGGGACATAGCTCAATGGTAAAGCACCCATCAGTTCTATCCCTACTACCAAAAAAAAATAATAATAATACAAAAATTCAACACTCATTCTCTCAAAGTATTACAAGTATTTCCTTTTGTACAATGAAAAAATGATGAAATAAATACTTTTGAAGCCCATATAATGAGTAAATGGCAAAAGAGGACTTTGCAGACACATTTTGATTTTTAAATATTCCACGTACACATAGACACACATGCACATATATGTATAGGTATATATAATTAGACATATAGATTCATTGAAAAGTGAGTTCCCAGCATACATGGAAAAGACATTTTTTTTTATTTCAAAGAATAAGGATACAGTACATATGTTTGATTTGGAATGCATTCATTCATTCATTCTACAACTATTTCATGAATACCTATATAAACCAGACATGGTTAGAAAATAGGTGATACAATGAGGAAGTAGTGAAAGTCCCTGCCCAAATGGAATTTATATTCCAGGGAAGAAACACACAATAAGCAAGTAATACAATGAGGTGAGATACAGTTTCAGTTAGTGATAAATGACAAATACATGAAGGAAGTTAGAGGAAAGATAACAAGAGTGCATGAAGGTTAGAGATGGTTGATCTACACGAGGAAGCATGCATGGCCTCTTGGAGAAGTCACATTAGAGTAGAGATATGGATAAGATCAGCAAGCCATTCATGCAAAGATTGGAGAACAGATATTCCATACAGGGAACCAGCAGGGACAAAGACATCAGAGAACAAGAAGGCCAGAAGAGATAACAGAATGAGAAAGAGTGGTAGGAGGGGGTTGGAAAGATATGAGAAAAGCCAGACAGGCAGAGCCTTTGAACCAACATCAAGGAATTTTAAGTTTACTCTGAGTATAAAACACCATCAAGTACTAACATTCCTTGTATTTAGAAGTAATCTCTTCACACATGGAACAGAGCTTGTTTGTTTGTTTGACTGATTGAGGTACTGGGGATTGACCCTAGATGCTCTACCAATTAGCTACATTTCCATTCCTTTTAATTTTTTTTTTTTTTGAGACAGGGTCTCCCTGTGTTTCCCAGGCCAACCTTGAAAACTTATTTATTATGTTTCTCCTGCCTGAGACTTGAGTCTCTGGGATAATAGGCATGCACTATCATACCCAGCTAAGAAGAGCTTGTTTTAAAAGAAACCCCTGTTAAAGGGACATTATGCCTATACCTGAGATATTCCTAAGATATTTGTCTAATGAATTTAGGCTATATTCACTATCAAAAAGACAAAATATCAAGAGCAAAAAGCAGAGACTCCTTATGTGAGCATATAAATCCTCTAATAAAGGATTTTTCCACTAGAAATTGGAAAAGATTCATGAAGCAAAAGGCATGTGGTTAATTATGAATTCTACCTTTTAAACCACAGCACATGCACATCTGGAAATGTGAACTTATATCTTAAGCTAGATATAAAGTTAAAACACTAGACACGAAGCCAGTTAAACTTGCAACATAAGCACTAAATTTAAAAGGAACACTAACATACATATTTAGAGAAACTAGCAAAACTCAAAATGACTTTAGTAAAACAGGAAAATAACGAACACAACCATCAAAAAGAAAATTTCAGTGGGAAGAAAAGGACAAATGGTATACTAAGGAGCAAAATTACATTCTATAAATACAAGAAATGAAGAAAATTATTACATGAAAGCATCATAGAATGGAAACCATTGTAAAACCTAACCTGACATTTTAAAATATTATTTTGATAATTAGACTACATCAATAATAAAAATAGAAGATACAAAAATTAGAAAATAATTCTTTCTTGGTTCACACAGTACTTAGCATATTGATAGAAACAAATATACAGTTTTGTTTTCACTATTTTATTTATTTATTTATTTATTTATTTATTTATTTATTTATTTTTAGCGAGAGGATTTTTTAATATTTATTTTTTAGTTTTCGGTGGACACAACATCTTTATTTTATTTTATGTGGTCCCGAGGATGGAACCCAGCGCCCCACACATGCCAGGTGAGCGCACTACCGCTTGAGCTGCATCCCCAGCCCCTTGTTTTCATTATTTTAAGAAAGCAACATAAACTGGGCATGATGATGTGTGTCTGTAATCCCAGTGACTAGGGAGATTAAAGCAGGAAAATCACAAGTTCAAAGCCAGCCAACAACTTAGGAAGACCCTTAGCAACTTAGTGAGATTCTGTCTCAAAATAATAATGTGAAGGGGGAAAAAAAAAGGTTTTAACTCGGTGGCAAAGTACCTTGGGTTCAATCCCCAGTATCAGAAAACAAAAACAAAAAAGATTTAACAAAGCAACTGGGGACTGGGGTTGTAGCTGAGCGGTAGAGCACTTGCCTAGCATGCATGGGCACTGGGTTCAATCCTCAGCACCACATAAAAATAAATAAATAAAATAAAGGTATCTTGTCCATCTACAACAAAAAGCAATTGGAAAATTAGAAAAGGTTTAGGGAAGAACAAATGAATAGCTAAATTAAAGGTAAGTAAAATACACTATTTTACTTTCTTATACTTGAGGATATCTTAATGCTATTATATAGTCAAACCCTAACAGAATTTTAATTTTCTCTGAAACATGAAAAATTACACATTGAGAATTCAGCTATAAGGTACTTACAGGAAATAGTGGAGGTGGTTTCAACACTACATCAGGTAACTTTTCACCTCTGCTAAATCCAACAGCCTCAATATTAAAGGTATAGGCAGCACGACCTCTTCCTTTATTCCCAGCCATCAGAACTAGTTATGCTACAAGAATGGCAAGCTAAAAGACACAATTAATGGTTAAGATTTACCAGATCATACCAAAAAAAAAGAAAAAAAAAAGAAAGAAACAAACCAACATTTTAAAGCAAAATGCAGCAGAACTCCACCCCTATATAGTATGGCTGATTAAAAAAAAAAATTAGCAAATCTGTAGAAAAACAAATATGCAAAACTGATGGCTGAACCCTTCATGTCCAGTTACAGTTTTCAGGTGAGATGATGATGGCCTCAATTCCAGCACCCAAGTCCTGAATGTCCTGTGCATACCCTGGGTCTGCACAACCCATCAATGCAATTCTGTCTCTGTGGTTTGGCAACAGATTCTCAGATACATGTAAAAAGTGGAGACAAGAAAAGTTTGGGCTGATGAGGAAAGGTTGTCTTGTTTTTATCCTATCCACTTGAAGACTATTTCTATGGTATGGATCTGGAATGTCCCCCCAAACCTCATGCATCAAAGGCTTGGTCCCCAATGCAGCAATGTCCAGTGAGGCTTTGGGAAAGAGATTGGCTCTGACCCCATCAATGGATTAATCCACTGAGAGTTGAATGGACACTTGAAGAGAATGGAAACTATAGGCAAGTGGGGCATGATTAGCGGAAGTAGGGTACTGGGGGCATGGCCTTGGGATCCTTGTCTCTGCCCACCTACTCTCTGCTTTGTGGCTACCATGACCTGAGCAGCTTTCCTCCACCATTCCCTTCTGCCATAATGTTCTGTCTCAACTCAGGTCTCAAGTAATGGAGCCTTCCAGACGATCATGGATTGAAACCTCCAAAATCATGAGCCAAGATTAATCTTTCCTCATCTAAATTGTTCTTGTCAGGTGTCTGGGGCCACAGTGAGGAAAAGCTAATAACAAAATCGATACCAAGAACTGGGGTTAATCATTGCTGTGACGATCCTGACCATGTGGTTCAGAAATCTGTAGAGATAGTTAGTGAGAGGATTTTGGAAATGTTTAGAGATGCAGGCTAAAGAAGCCTTACGGTGTTATAAGCCAAGTTTAATGATGATGCTGGTGTGGGCTCAGAAGACCAGAATACTGATGTGAATGGAGACAATAAAGAATGGGCTCGTGGGGTTCCAGAGGGGAATAAGGACTCTTCTGGGAACTGGATTAGAGGCCATTCATGTACATTCTGATAAAGAACATATCAACATTTTTTTTCATATCCTGAGGTTTTATGTGAGGCTGGGTTTAAAGGTGATGAATTAGTTTATCTGGTGGAGAAATTTCAATTCAGAGAGTAGCATTTGTATTGCTGGCTACTTTTAGCCAGGTTTACTGTGGTAATCACAAGCAGAAAGCAGAGAAGAAACATTTGGAAAAACTTGCATTTTAGCTAGAAAAGCCCATGTAAAATTTGGTTCAAGGAAGTTATGGTTGCTGAAGACATTAGTGCCACTGAAGAGAAATCAAGTACTTGGCCTGGAGACAACAGGAAAGTGGCCTTCATGGCATCTTGGGAATCAGCAAGTCCCACTCATCCCAGGCTCGAGTAGGTAAAAGTGAAAACTTGTTTGAAAGACTTTGTTTTGAGAAGTGATGGCAGGATGCTCTCATAGGACTACCTAAAAAGTTGTTTTCCCAGAACTAGTTTCATCATTATCAGTTGCCGTGGCATCCAGAGGCTACTGCTGCTATGATCCAAGGAGTCCACTACTGCTTGAGCTAGTGGCATACCTGGTGTTGTCCATGTGATGCTGGTGTTGTAGGCATGAAGGAATGAAAGAATAATGGAGGCTTGAATCGAGATTTCAAAGGAAGGCCTATAAGGACAGGCAATGTGTCCCAGGGTCAGACTCATTGAGTGTAGCTCCTGGGAGGGCAATGCATGAAACCATGAGAGTTAAGCCAAAGCTAGAATGAAAATCCCAGCAAATCAGAAGTTACAAACACTTGGTGTTTTAAGTTTGCATCTGTGTTTTTAAAAACCCTCTAAGTAGTGGGCATGGGGATGTGCACATGTAATCCCAGCAGCTCTGGAGGCTGAGGCAAGAGGATCCTGAGTTCAAAGCCAGCCTCAGCAAAAGTGAGGTGCTAAACAACTCGGTGAGATCCTGTCTCTAAATAAAATACAAAATAGGGCTTGTGATGTGGCTCAGTGGTTGAGTGCCCTGAGTTCAATTCTCAGTACCCCCCCCCCCAAATAAAAACTCTCTAGGTAGTTCTTATGCATACTAAAGTTCATGAATCACTGAACTGAAACAATCAAATCATGACCTCTTGGGGCAAGAATAGCTTCAAAACTTTTCTAGGCAATTCTAATACATAGGAAAACTGCTATGTGAAAACTTCTCTGGTGGAAGTCTTAGCTACTAAGTAGTAGCAAAGTTAAAATATACCTGTAGGATCACTTACTTTATAGGTTCCATCTTTGAAATTGAAATCATACAGATTATCTAGATTTAAAGAAATGAGCCTAAAAGTGAAATAACTGTTATAAATCTAACAGAATTCAGAATGTGATGCCTGACTTTTTAACACATTTGCAAGGTAACAGCAATACCAAGGTGTTAAGCCTTAGATATGAGGTGTCCCCCAAAAGCTCATGTGTGAGACAATGCCAGAAACTTTAGAGATGACAGGGTTATAAAAGGCTTAACCTAATCAGTGCATTGATTCCTCAATAGAGACTAAGTGTTAACTGTAGGCATGTAGGATATGGCTGGCAAAGGTGGGTCCCTGGGTGGGGTAGGGGGCATGCCTTTGAGTTTTATAGTTTGTCCATGGTAAGAACTTCCTCTATCCCTTTCTGCTTCCTGATGTGATGTCCTGAGCCACTTTCCTCTGCCACGCCCTTGCGCCATGATGTGCTGCCTCTCCTTGAGTCACAGGGAAGGGAATCGGCCATCTATTAACTTGGACCTCTGATACCAAGAGCCCCCAAATAAACTTTGCCTCCTCTAATTGTTCTTGTCAGGTCTTTCTGGTCACAGAAGTGAAAAAGCTGATAAACACAATGAGCTGCACTTTTAATATCCTCATACATTTAAGGGTCCAACTACTCAAAATCAAGACATATATTTAATATCCTTCTCTGACGAAATCTTGTTTCTTCTTTTCTGAGAATTACTCAAGTAGGATGGCATTTGGTTTGATATGATGGATGTGATAGTGAGAACATTTTCAGATATAATTTTCCATTGTATATTTTCTAAACTCATCCTTAATGCCTCCATATTTGAGAGTTTTCCTTCATAATTGCTTGAATATTAAAAGATGATTTTATCTTTGCTATTCTCATTGTAAAGTACAACTCCATGTCTTTTTACTTAATTTTACCATACTATGAATACACATGTAAGTAGGAAAAAGAGTGCAATAAACTCCCAAGTACCTACCTGTTATAATTTGGATCTGAAATGTCCCCCAAAGGCTCATGTATTGAAGGTATCCAATATTCAGAGATAAGGCTTTTGAGAAGTGGTTGGATTATAAAGGCTCTAACCTCATCAAAGGATAATCCATTGAAGAATTTATAGCTGAATGGATTATTGGGAGATGGTGGAGACTGTAGGAGGTGGGATCTAGTTGAAAGGAGTGAGTCCTTAGGGATGTGCCCTTGGGAACTATATCTTGTCCCCAGGCTCTTCTTCTCTCTTCCTGCTTCTTAGCTTCCATAAGGTAAGCAGCTATGCTCTACCACATCCTCCTGCTAGGATGCTCTGCCTTACCACAGACTCAGAATCAATGGTATCACTTGTTGCCACTGGACTGAAACCTATGAAACCATGGGCCAAAATAAAATTTTCCTTCTTTAAAGTTGTTGTTTTTTTTTTTTTAGGTATTCAGTCACCATGACAAAAAGATGACTAATATACCATATCATTCAACTTCAACAATTAATAATGACTAATTTTCATACTCTTCCATTCCCATGAATCAAATTTTTAAAAACTCTTCATTATGCATCTTCTCTGAGGTAAAGGCTTTTAAAATAATATCATGTAAAATTTTATAATAATTCCTTATTATCCTCTTATATACAATCAGTATTTCAATTTCCTATTATCAAATAAATGTTTTTATAGTTATTATAAGTCAAGATACAAAACATCCACTATGACAATTGATGAACACATCTTTTAAATTTCCTATCAACAGTTAAGAGTTCCTGTCCCTTTTTTAAAAAAGAAATATTTTTTAGTTGTAGTTGGACACAATAACTTTATTTTATTTATTTACTTTTATGTGGTGCTGAGGATCGAACCCAGAGCCTCGCATGTGCTAGGCAAGAGATCTACGCTAAGCCCCCGTTTCTGTCCCTTTTTATCCTTACCATTTATTTATGGAAGAAATGAAGTCACTGTCATGTATGATGCTTCTCAAACTTGATACAAGCAAATTATTTAGGAGTCTTGTTAAAATGCGGATTCTCGTTCAGTTGCCCTGATAATTTGCATTTTAACCAAAATCTCACAGAGGTATCAATGTTGCTGGTTTATAGACTACAATTTGCGAATAGCGACAACTTCCCTTATTCTAGATTTGAAAGATTGCATACTAGAGATATGGCTTAATGTACTCCTCTATTCACAGGATTTCCAATAAACAGTAGACTAGATGCTTACTCAGAGTCTTTTTTTCTTCCTTAAGAACACTTAAAAGAGACATTTAGTTTTCCTACTGCATTGCACCAAGCTGCACATGAAGTCTTTTTTGGTTATGACCAAGGTGGTTAGTGGGTCAGATGCTATTGATGTGTTTCATTTACTATAAGGTGGCCATCTATTTTCACCTAATGAATTCAGCAGCCCCTAGATCCACTACTAGATCCTAGATCCACTACTCCAGTATGAATAGCAATATGGTGATATAAACTTTTTCTTATTCTTCTTATTTTATTAGTTATAATTCTACCAAGGATTAATTTCCCTTATCCACTATTTAGTTACCTTGAAACAAACTTCATACAGCAAACTCATATTAATAAACAAGGTCATTCCAACTGTTCACATTAAAGAGAAAAAATATCCAAATAGCCTTGTTTCAATTGCTGAGTCACTAAAGCATATGCTGAGCCTGCAGAAATCAGGTCTTTTAAATACAAAACTGGTGAACAGAGGGTTCACACTTTCACCATAAAAAACAGCTGTAGTCACCTAACAGGCATGGTCAAGACCACTGGGCTGCGTTCCAGTCCAGAATCTGCCATTATTTAAAGATTAAGAACAATTCTAGGTAAAGGTTACCAAACTTGTCTGAACATGAGAATTAATTGGAGGATTTGAGAACATGAGAATTTAACTGGAGGACATATAGAAGGCTAGGGGATCCTCAGGTTTTCAAATTTAGTAAACTGGTATCTTCAGAAGTGAGGTCCTGGGAAACAATTTGGAAAATCACTCTAAAAATAAAGTATATCAGTTATCATTGCTTTTATCAAGCAAGCTTTGGGTATATAAGTTGAGTGTATAAATTTGGGTGTATAAATTGGTATCATTAGTCAATGTTCTGCCATTGGCAGAAAACCCAATCCTAGCTCTTGAGACACCCTTAGTAATTACACTGCATTCTGGCTACAAATACAACTTTTTAGTTTGGTCATCATGAGTCAGTGCTTCTAGTCTTGCAGGTGTTTAATTCATTTTCTTCCCTTGCAGATTAGAGTAGCAGTCGCTGGATACTGGTACTAAATCATGGAAGAAATGCTCCACAGGTAAGGCCTAAGGATAACTCTTCAAAATCTTTTATATTGCTTCATCCACTGCTTTGTTCCTTTTTTTCATCCTGCCAAATTTGCTGAATGAAGGGGTTTATAACATCTTTCTCTATTTCCTCATTATTCAACCCTTCTACTTCAAGTAGCCCAATTTGAGGTATTACTCAACCAATATGGAGAATTCCAGGTACAGTGCAAGTAAGCCATACATCAACCACCTATTTGTTTCCTTCAAAATGTCTCTTTGTTTGTAATTTCTCTACCATAATCCAGCTCAGCCCTTTCCCATCCCATTTCTGATTAACTGCAAACTTTGTAGTATACCTGTTTCTTTTAATTGACTCATCCACATTATTTATCCTATAGCACAGCTTTGATTATGCTACTCATTTCATCTTCCCTCTTGGCCAGTGAATTAAATTCAAAGCCCCTAAGTATTTAGGGATTTTTTAAAGATGGTTGCAATCTATCCTTCTGACTCTCTAATCTGTAATTCTATCTAGACTCTCAGTCTCTTCACTGCAATCTGCCTCTCCTTCCTCCCTGTCTGGATGCATCCCTTTTCACCTTAACACCCAGCGTAAGGTGAAAACACTGGGTCCTCAACATCCACAAGTCATTTCATCTCACCTTGATCTGAGCAAGATCTTCTTTTAAAATGAATGGGTTTTTAAAAATTGAAGTGATATATATTGATAGACTCCTCAATTCTGGGGCGGGGGAATACTAAATGGGCCTTTTCCAAAGGAGAAATGTTCATGTTTTTTTGTTGTTGGTTTCTTCAACTATATTAAGAGTGGAGATTTTATATCCCTCACTGTTTAGTATAATGACTTATATACAACAATTTCTCCTCAATTAATGTGAAGCCTTCCCAATCTATTTATTTATGTTATATAATTTGATGAGAAAATCTTCCCATGGAAGTACAATTCAATCAGCTTACTATCAAGCCGTTTAAAATTTTCCTGAACTTCAAAGTTCACAGAACAAAACACAACAGCCATGGGCTTCACTCCAGAACAATAAAAGCGGAACCTCTTAAAGGCAGAGTTTAGGCACTGGTTTTCAAGCAACCCAGAATATTACAATGTGTAAACTAAATTAAAAAGGATGGCAGATTAAACCTTCCATTTTGTAGACAAGGAAAGTAAGGTCCTAAAAGGTTATCTGATAATCTAAGGAAACAAAATTAATTTCTATCAAAGGCAGGAATAAGTTAAAGCCTCAGGAAACCTTTTCATTGCCCCTTAATCTATATTATGCTGCCTGAAGCACATGTCTAAGCTTGTTGAAAACCTTTTTAATCCCAGAAGTGTCTTTCATCAATGAAGTGAATTAGTAACTGCAAAACAGACTCAATTTTAAAATGTGAAATCAGCAGCATTCTTTCATTTCAGGATAGCTCCTGAAAATTCCTGCTCAGAATTTGTTCTGAAAGGTTTGAAAATGGGTACAGTTCAAATAACCAAGAGCTGAATATAAAACTCCATTCTAGTTACTATAAAAACCACCTCTTGGCATAGAATGAGTTATCTCTGAAATTGTCCCATCTCTAAAATCTTATGAGTTATGGCTGTGACTAAAATGCACTATTTTCCATGTCATACACAGTTCCTTTACATAGTAGCTATAGTTGAATAAATATACAAATAGATGGACGCTAGAGCAGTGAAAGGTAGGTCTCAGTATCTTTCCCATGAATGCCTCCTAAACTGTTCCAGTCAGGAGGCTGATGGTCATTCCTACTCTGGCCCTATCACCTTTGATCTCATCTAATAGTAGATGATTACTTGCTGTGTATTCTCTCTTCTTTGTTCCCTTTCTGTCACCTCTGCTTTACTGTAGGCCCTCAGCATCTCTCATCTAGACCTCTAAAATATAACAAATAAACTTCCCATGGCCAGACATCCCCTTTCAATGCACTCTCCAGTTATCTTTCTAGAATACAAATATTGTCATGTCATTCTCCTTAATCAATAGAGCTTTGAAGTCTAACTTTCTGCCTCTTACCACATGCATCATACACTAGCTATGCCAGCTTTTGCATGCAGTGTTCTGCCTAGAGTGTCTTTCCTACCACATCCACCTCAACAAGCCCTAGCATCTTTTAGGATACCATGCAAATGACACCTTGTGACCATTTCCTCTACCCTATCCCTCTTTTCACTGGGCTTCCCAAGTACTACCCTCCTTGTTTCGTCCTTTTTATAATCATGTTGTAATTGTTGATCCTAGTCTGTCTTCCCAGGGAGAGTCTCAATATCTATTCACCATGTCTTTATTGCACATTCTCTGTGTCAAGTCATCTTCTGTGTATTAGGAATATAGTAGTGAACACAATAAAATATTTGCTCTCATGGAGCTCATAGCCCAGTATGGGAAATCGCAAAAAAAAAAAAAAAAAAAAAATCCTAGAAAATGTCAGGAAGTGCTAAGTAGGTGAAGAAAAGTAAAGCAGGAAACATGGATGCTACTGTGGAAAGGGTAGCTGAAGAACTTCTGTCGTATTCATTAATATTTGAACAAAAACCTGACAAAAGTGAGGGAAAGAGCCCATGCACAGAAGTTTGAAAGAATATCTAGGCTGAAGTGGATACAGAGGGATTGTAAATGTGAAGGCCTCCTTAGAGACTTATTCACCTTTTTATGCCCATGGCTAAGCAGAGTCTGGCAAAAGTCAAATAACTATGCGTAGACTTACTGCTGAGCTCATATCCTAGTACAGATTTTGTTCCATTTCACCTCTAGTGGTCCCCTCCAGTCTAGAGGAAGAATACCTCACTACAGAGAGCACTGTATTTCTCTGTTGAAAAAGCCCTGACATCACAAATCCCACTCCTCAACAGTCCCTTCTTCTGTTTCTTTACAGCACCTCATTTTTACTTCTTCTGTGATACATATCACATACTGCCTTACGTTGCAAGGGTTTATGTACAAATAATATTTTCCCTCAAATTCTTGAGAATCCAGATCATGATCTTTTCACAAAATTCTGTTCACACATCATCTAGCTCAGGGACTTGTGCTTAGTCACCAGCTGAGTAACTGGATAACCTCTACCTAGATTAGCAAAATACTCGGGCCACATCCCCCACCAAAGACTTTGGGAATGTAGGGAAGGACAGTACACCTTTCTTTCCACCCAGGCTTATTATTAGTTGCCCCAATAAATGTTTGTATAATTATGTTTTATAATGCTTCTCATGGGTCTCTTATTACTTTTTCCCGTGTAAGCAAGGAGGTTAGTCAAGTTCTCAAGAGAATTTCTGCAGACTAAGTAGATGTTTCAACAGCAGGGGAGGGGGAGAGGGAAGGTGGAGGGACCTGGACCAGAAGTTAGTAAGAGGAGTTGATTTGTGTGGCTGAGGAGGCCACACCCAGTCATTATCCACTTTTCCCTCCTCAGAAGGTACTACACCTTTCCTTAATTGAGCTTTTCTACCAACTTTCTTTACTCTCTTCCAAGAGTAGACAACGAACCTCTCCGAAATGGAATGGTATATAGAATTTCATTTTTTTAAAAGAAAAATCATATTAACAACCTTCCTTCCCATGATACAGAGAAGTTGCCAACAATTAAGAAAATAGATAAACGAGTATCTGTCCTTAGCTGCAATATGCAGCAATGACCAGTGCCTAAATAAAGCACCGGTTCTGCATCAGTCTCCTCCTATCAGTGAGAGCATAAATTCCCTTGTAACTCACTGCGAACAGTTCCAGGATGAGAAATCTATGTAAGATCTAGAAGGGACGACTTTAAAAGACTGAAAAGACCAGGAGAAAAAAAGGTAAAGCTATCTTCCAACGCCTCATTCCAGAGGCGCTTTAATTAATTTTTGCCTCTGACCCACTCCCCCACCCCTGCCACCTTCTCCATGTGCCTCTTTAATTCCCCTCTACTCTCTACCTCCCTTCCCAATTGCTGGATAGCTTCCTCTGTTACCTGATCACTTATTCTCGAGGTTTGGGCAAAACTGTGCGCCAAAGTGCCGGCCGGCAAGGAAGGGGTGCAAGCAGCGGACGCCAGCGCTCGAGTGCCGCAGGTTCCACCTTGGAGAAGCGCACACCGCTCTCCACGCGGCCCCAGAGCGCGTTCTGAGCCTACAGCTAGCTCCGCCCATTCCAGATAGGCCCCGCCCCTTAGGAAAGAGCTTTTTAGCCCTTGGCAGGCGCCGTAGTCAGCACCCAACAGGCTTGGCCCGACTCTTTCCGCGCCGGCTGCGAGTGCGCAGCACAGCCAACCTGTGGGCGGGGGTGTAAGGGAGCGGAGAGCCAAGCCCGGCACTTCCCACGCATTGCTCAAAGACTCTGCAGTCAGACCCCTAGGGTGGAGAAAGTGTCGCCTTCTGGGTGTCCAGTTCGCTGCAGTGACCCCTGCGTTAACGTTTTCCGCTGCTGCGACTGCTGGAGCTTCGATAATTCCCGCATCTGGGCGCGGGCGCGAGCCTCTGCCCTCTGCGGACCAAACAGGAGGGTGCTGGAGCAGACTCTCCCAACAGCGTCTGTGCTTGTCCTCCTGCCTTCCCACCCCCACCCTGCGCCACCCGCATCCCCGCCCCCTCGCTCTGCGCCTCCTCCTTGGCTGCGGGCAGAGGGCTTCAAACAGCCGCAGCGCCCAGTGTCTGGACAGCCTGTAGGAGGCACACACTCCTACACCCACCCTGCCTAGCCGCACCCCTGCCCAGCATGTCGGCGCTCGAGTGGTACGCCCACAAATCTCTGGGCGATGGCATCTTCTGGATTCAAGAACGCTTCTATGAGTCCGGCAACCGCGCCAATATCTGGCTGGTGCGTGGCTCCGAGCAGGACGTAGTGATCGATACCGGCCTGGGGTTGCGCAGCCTCCCGGAGTACCTGTATTCCTCCGGCCTCTTGCAGGACTGCGGGGCCAAAGAGGATGCGGCGCCTCGGCCGCTTCTGGCTGTGGCCACCCACGTGCACTTCGACCACTCCGGCGGTCTTTACCAGTTCGACCAGGTGGCCGTGCACCATGCTGAGGCCGAGGCCCTCGCTCGCGGGGACAACTTTGAGACCGTGACCTGGCTCTCCGACAGCGAGGTGGTGCGGGCGCCCAGCCCCGGCTGGAGGGCCAGGCAGTTCCGAGTGCAGGCGGTGCAGCCCACCCTCATTCTGCAGGATGGTAATAGGCCCCCACGGGCACGCGCTCGCGTTAAGGGAGGGGATTGGGGAGAGAATGTCCGAGTACTGCGTATTGCAAAATTGCGTGGCCATAGTGGGATTGTTTGGGTACATCGCAGAAGCATCCCTTCTGTCTTACCCTTCCCAGGGTAAAAGCCCACTACATCAGTGCCGAGGCCATCGCAGCCTTCTCTGTCAGTAGACAGTAGCTCTGGTACAGTGTAGTGATTCTGAGTACTCGACTGAAAGCTGGCACCACCCCCTAGTCAGTTTCCTGTGTCTGTTGCAGTAGTAACACTACAGAGACCGGTGACCAGGGATTTCCCTTTCTTTCCCCCTGAGAACCCGTCTGACATTTCCAGGATTTTATAGCAAGTAGACTTTTAAGGAATGACGCCTCACGAAGAGTACTTGTGCTTTTGAGAACTGCTGACTTAATTTGTTCAGTCACCACCTGGTATGAACAGTTCCCACCTGTAGGCTTAGAAAACCATCAGAGCAGTGATTCCAATCTGCGCATTCATTTTTGTCTTTCAGATTGGTTTCTTTTCTTGATGTTGCCTCACTAGAGAAAAAGCTTGATAGTAGACATAAAATAGAATATGTCTAGCTTATGTAATGTCAGATATCTGGTCTGCTTGAAAGCTATGCCTGAGAAAGATTAACAAGCTTTGTTTCCTGTGGGGTGAAGTATGTGGACTAATAAATTGATGGCCTTGGTCATCTTTGGTTATGAAAGACGATGCGGTTTCAGAGAGAAATTCATGGAATAAAACAAGATAGGGGCCCTACTCTTTCCACACAGGAACTTAAATAATTGAGCTAATGAGCCACAACAGCATATTTGGTATATTTCTCTTCTATTTAGAAGAATTTTAGCCTCACTACGTATTTGAAAAGAGGTAACCAATCCTCGATTAAATGTCTTGCCTAAAGAGATGGTGATAAAAGCTATGATTTGAACCAAGGCACAATAGGTCAAAGCATGAAGAACATACCATAAATCATACCAAGAATTATGTAATTCTAAGCAGAATGTGAAAGTCCCTTTTTTCCTTTCTATCTTATCATTTTAATTGTCAATTTAGTCTATTGAAACATGCCTTTATGAAGAATATCCAGTTTTGCACTACAGTGAAGCTAACTATAAGACTAAGCAATATAGCAGATAATAAAATGTTTTACAAAAATCAGTTTTTCTTACAGATGATATCTTGATCATTGTGATATTTTAAAAAATTGTAAAAGTCTATGTCTCATCCTCCTCCCAAAAGTCTCCTTAATGTTTTAAATCTGAGTATTTAAAAAACAAAACCTGTTAGGTGAGAGTCTTACATTATCTGACAATTTTAGATGAAAAAAGTATTTATATTAAATATACTTTTAATCATTATATTTCTTTGATAGAATTGATACTTTTAGAGGTAGCATTTCCAAGCAGTTGATGGATATTCAGACTCTCAAGGGCAAAAGAATGGTAGGGATTATTGTTTTATAGATGAAGAGAGGATCTACACAGACCTGAACACCATTCCCGAGGTCTCCTTGACATTTGGGGAAGGAACTTGTATGGGAACCCAGGTTTCCTGAATCCCAATTGATGGTAGAATCCTGCCATTTTTGGAGCTGCAAAGGGCCTTCTAGCCACTTGTGTGGTGCTTTAAAGCTTTGAAGGTGTGAAAAGAAAGCTTAATATTTACAAACACTTTGAAGGTGGTGGTACTGTGTTATCAAAAGTTGTTTTTCATTAAGAGCAGGATGCTTCATCCTCTCAAGTACCATCTAATTTCCTCACTTCTCAAGAATATTAATTTCCTGTCTCTTCTAGAGGATGAGGCCTGTTAACTTGCTATTAACATAATCCAGATACCTAGAAGGAGATATAAAATACTTATATTAAAAAAACATGTACAGATGCACACACACATACACAGTACATACTCAACAGCATATAGTCTTCATTACTTTGGTTAGAACACAAAGTGGCTGAAATAATTTATTACATTTCATTTAGTGAATTGATGATCACCTTTTATGGAGAAGCATAAATCTGTGCACTGAATCTCTAACCCCAAAGCAGACTTATAAATGAGGGACAGGAGGACAAGGAGAGAACAGCCATGTCATCCAGTGCATTATCTTTGATGAAAAAACAGCTTGCCTTATTAATAATGAAATGATATTTTCCTGTGAGAAGATAGTGCTAGATCTTGAATGGGCAGACATCATGTTGCCTATTTTTTTTTTCAATATTCATGTGATTCAAGTTCTGGCATTTTTGTTTCCACTGAATGTGTTTAGACAATTTTCCCAGAGTCACCAGATATTATCTCAGAGGAGTGGTTTCAGGTAGACTAAAATTATTTGGGAAGATAAAAAATACAACATACAGATTCCAGAAAGGTAGATCTAATTTGGCTCCCTTCCAATGCTGTACTAGTACTGCTAGTAAGACATTATGATTTTTGGATTCAAGCATAAATCTACATAGGCTAAGAGAACTATTTTAGATGCTAGAAAGTAGATGTGGTGACTGAGTAGGTTTTTTTGTTTGTTTTTTTGTTTTGTTTTTGTTTTTTTTTTTTTACCATGCCAGCAATGGAAAATCAAGAGTCAATTCAGTCTGCACAAAAGAAGCCTTAAAAGGCTCAGAAATTAGCAGTTGTTGTTACCTCAGTGGGGGCAAAGGGAATCCTAAGGTAAAATTGGTTGTAAGAATTTTAAGTTGTTAAAACTCTGTAATCCTTCCTTCTTATGTGTATGCCCCACCTTTATCCAGTTAGTCTATTCTCTGGGAATGGTAAAATAGAGAACTTTCTTGATTGAGAGATGCTGAGTTCTATTGAGTTCAGGGACTCAGTGTGAAAAACAAAAGGTATAAGAAAGTATGTGTGTGTGTGTGTGTGTGTGTGAGAGAGAGAGAGAGAGAGAGAGAGAGAGAGAGAGAGAGAGAAAGAGAGAGTGTGTTTCCCTACTGGATGCCCAGAAGTCCAAGAACCAGGCCTTTACCTGCAGGGTAGGAAATTAGGAAAATCTTATCTTGGAATTTGACCCCTAGAGGAAGATGCCCATGTAGAGGAATTCTTAAGTAATCTCTGACCTGCTCTCTCTGCTATGAAGCATAGTTCACTAGCCCTCATTATTGTGCTTCAAGCAGCATTTTTATTCCCTGTTCTTAAATAGGCAACAAGCATTATGAAAAATCTGAGAAAATTCTGTAACATGAGATCAAATATTAAAACAAACAGCATAAAGCAACGTGTAGGGGACTGTTATCAGTATCATTAGGGAGATAAGATGAGCTAGTTCATACCAGATATCCAAGCGACTATTATAAACAACAGAACAACATCCACAAAGAGCTCTTAAAATTTAATACATCAGAAATTACTTTGTAGAAGATACAGAAGACAAAGTTGAAAACATACAGAAGAGCAGTTAAAATTTAATACATCAGAAATTACTTTGTAGAAGATACAGAAGACAAAGTTGAAAACATACAGAAGAGCAGTTAGGCAAAATGTAAACGAGGTGAGAAAAAGACTAAATAAGTAGAGGTCCAGTTTGGAAAATTCAATATTGGGATAGTATAAGTAGAGATAAAGTAAATTAAGTGAGGGAGAATAAATAGGAAAGAAAGAGGTAATCCAAGAATATATTTCATAGTTAAAAGATGTGAATTTCCAGTACCATGAATAAAAACACATCCAAGCCAAAGCACATTACTATAATATTGCAGAATATTGGAATCAAACAAGATTCTATGAGCTTCCAGAAATGTAAACACAAGGATTATTTATTCAGATTAGAATGGCTTTGGAGCTAGAAAAGAAAAAAAATGCCTACAAATCTGAAGAACAATGATTATCATCCTAGAACTTTCTTATCTTTCCCATTATCAATCAAGTTTTCAAAATATTATTTCCCACATATTGAAGCCACCAGGATAAGCCCCTTCAAAATAAGGGAGAAAAACAAGAAAGAGGAAGACATCTAGTAAACAGTAAATTGAATACAAAGGATTGTCACAAGAAAGTATCAAGGTGGTACAGTGGATTATACTCTGACAAAGACAGTACCCCAGGCAAAGAGAGCTCCATATTGGAGCAGTCAAATTATAATTCTTGTGCATCCGAGTGTGGTGAGAAGGTGAGAAATGCATACACATGTAAAGATGATATGGTATATTGAATATGAGGAATAAAAAACTAAAAATCCTTCAATATAATAATGAAAATCAAGAGGTAACATAACATAATACATACATGAAATTAGTACAGCATATGTAATTGATAAGCCAAGAAATGGAGGATAATTATTTGGTAATAAGTATATCTGGAATAGTTGGTTGAAATGACTTAAATTGTTAAAATTGTTTGCTTTTGAAAGCAAAATTGTCAATAGAGAATGGGGAAAAATGTTCTTACATTTTAAGACCTAAATATTTTATTTCAAATATTTACACATTTTTTAAGTAAAATTAAAAAAGACAAAGGATGACATGCCATGATGTGAATGGTCACTTGAGACATCAAGAGATGTGTAATATGACTGGGATCTGGACAGCTGCATCAGAGTGAGGGTTGGAAGGAGTGTGCATGTTACACATGTGATACATTTTCTAGGCCACTCTAGCTCTTGAGAGAGAACACCATGAAATCACCATCATAAAGTGATACTGGGACCTGAGAAGACGATGAAGAAGCAGCAGCAAATGAGGCTTTTTTTTTTTTTTTTTTTTTTGCATTCTGAAATAGATTTCAGCTACCCCAGATAGACATGGGGGTCCTTGCTTCTTGCTCTCTTGCCTTGTAAGTATAATCAGAACCAAACTTATTTCAGAGTCTTTATTCCTGTGGCTATAACTTTGGAATCATCTCTTCAAAAAGTCTTTAGATATGGCCATGTTCCTTGAATTCGGTTTGCAAAACAACCATTTGAGGAGCTTATTTTAAAACAGCAATTTCTCAACCTTAATGCCATAAACTTCAGATACAATAG